ATCTAGAAAACATGGGTGTGCGGGCGTCGATGTCTGTTTCGATAATGGCGTTCGGCGCGCTGTGGGGGCTCGTGGCGTGCCACTCGTATGGGTCGCATGGGATGCGCGTGTCGTTTCCCGTGCGGCAGATGCTACGTCTGTTGAGCCAGGCGATATCGAGGAATATTGAGCGGTTGAGCTACGCTCAAAGGCTGACGACGCGGAAACTGGTGGGTATTCATTGCCATTGCTATATCCTATGTTGTGTTGTTGAACGGACATGGAATGTAGATTAACACGATGGCGTCGGATAACCATCCAGTGGGTTCATCTTTTCTTTTAGTTTGGAGTCCACGCTTATCTGCGAATTGTTTAGACGGGTTACATTGTGAGCAACGCTGATGACCTGCTGGGGTTGTTCGATGCGGATTTTGGCGTCCTCGTTGTATGTGGTTCTATCCATGTATCAAGCCTCGGGCACCTTATCTTCCACAGATTGGTGAAGCCGCAAAGATGCTGGGGCCGAGTGACCACGGACAGGAAACCCTCATCATGGCGGAGTATTTGCGGCTAAAGCAGTTCACGTCCGTCATCCTCTCCGTTCTCCCCCGGACTCCTTTTTAACTACTAGGCTACAGCACGATACAAGTCTCGCAGGCCGTAACCGCAGATTTCGAGGACCTCGATCTCACCCTGACAGCGGGGCTCGAAGTCGTGGCGGGCATGCTCTATGTGCCGCTGTCGAGCGAGGGCAAGGACTTCATATGTTTTCTGCGCAAGGGGCAACCGCGGCATGTGCACTGGGCGGGGAACCCCAACACCAAGGCGCAGCCGGACGCCGTGCTTGAGCCGCGCAAGTCGTTTGCGGTTTGGAGCGAGACGGTGGCGGGGCGGTGTCGCGTGTGGACCGATGAGCAGCTCGAGACGGCGGGGGTGCTCGCTTTGGTGTATGGCAAGGTGCGTTTTGTTTCGTTTGATGCGATTTTCTCGAGTTATTGATGGTGGGTTTACTGTAGTTCATCGAGGTGTGGAGGCAGAAGGAGAATGCGCTGCAGACGACCCGACTCACGAATTTATTGCTTTCTAATGCTTCGCATGAAGGTGAGTTTGGGAGGAACCAAATCCGCTTAAGAGCCTTTCTCACGCCCTGTCGCCAGTTCGAACCCCATTAAATCACATTATTAAGTGCGTGCATCATTCCTAAGGCAGAAGGGAAACTGACTTTGGGGCAGTTACCTTGAAATGGCGCTTAATGGACCGTTGGATGATGAAACCCGCGACAACCTCAACCGTTCGCATGCTGCATCCAAGGTTACTTAAACAGTTTTCGATCTTCTTTCACAGATACTCATTCCTAGGCACAGAGTTTGCTGTTCACGATCAACGACCTGTTGGTATGTTCATGTTACGCGTCGAACCAGATGCCGAAAATTAACCGTCTCTTTAGGATCTAACGCGGCTCGAGAGCGGGAACGAGACGTCCTTTAACGAGCCGTTTGATCTACAGGACGCTATCGAGGATGCGACGCATCTCTATCGCAAAGAGGCGCAGCGGCGGAGCATTGCCTTCGAGATGCAGCTTGAGCACTCGCCCAAGATCGTTGTCGGCGACTCCAAAAAGATTCGAACGGTGGTCCAGAATCTTACCGCTAATGCCCGTATGTTTCTGGTTCATTGTCTTGTCGGCGTTTGGTTGCTGATGAATGCCGGTGTAGTGAAATACACCTCCGAGGGGTCGATTACTGTCGGCTGCACCACGTTCGGCGAGCCGGAAGGCTTGCGGGGTCCGAGTCAAACGGCAGTGGAGATCGTTGTGGCTGATACCGGGTGTGGTATTTCGGCCGAAAGACTGGGGAGCATATTCCGCGAGTTCGAGCAGGTGGAGTCGATGGAGTCGAAACCGACCGCTGGTGGCGGTGTTGGGCTCGGACTGGCAGTAGTGGCGAGAATAGTCGAGCAGTACGTCGTCCGTCATTTGCATCGAGTTTCTCCCGCTCAAATGATTGACGTTCACAGGCTTGGGGGTCAGCTCAGGGTAGAGTCGAAGGTGGGCGAGGGGAGTCGATTCTCATTCCTCATTCCGTTGGCCTTGTCCGCCGAAGGGGATGAGTTGGTGATGTCTTCCCCAGGGACGTCGTCCAACAACTCGTCGGTCCGACGTTCTCGACGGCGGAGCATTGATTCCGGAGGCGCGATCGATTCTCTGGTGGAGGCACTAGCGTCAAGTCATATGATTTCGCCATCGCCTCAAGGAAGCCACCACAAGCGGACGAGGTCCTCCTCTCCCGAGGCACCACCAACGATCATGCCTGGGCTTTTTGGTGTCTCTGACTCGAGTGTACCTATTCGGCCGATCAGGGTAGACTCCTTCGCGGTTGATGCGCCGGTCACTCCTCCTCCAGGCGACGATGAGAGTCGCAGATTATCTTCGCCGCCGCCTGGGGCGCTTCCGAGTGTCGGCGAGAGTACTCCTTCGACGCCTACATCCAGTGCTTCGGCAGGACCAAGTTCCCCGCCAAGGCTCGAAGATTCATCGAAACTTAGGGTGCTTATCGTTGAGGTAGGGGACAGTTATCAAGCTTGGGTCAACTTCTAACGGGACCTTGAAGGACAACGATATCAACCGGACGGTTCTGGCCAAGCGGTTACGACTCGATGGTCACACTGTGGTGACAACGACGAATGGTCAAGAGGGTCTAGACAAGGTCACCTCCGACAGGGCGTTCGACGCCATTCTCATGGATATTCAGTGTGTCTTGTTCGTTCATTCCCGATCCAAGTCTAACGCCCACAACAGGATGCCGATTTTAGACGGATATGCAGCTACTAAACGGATCCGCGCTCTAGAGAAATGCACCCCCTCACCGGATAGCCTCCGCCTCTCGAACTGCCTCAACGGAGGACATATTCCTATATTCGCCGTTTCTGCTAGTCTCGAGGAGCATCGCCGCGAGGAGATGATGAACTACGGTATCGACGGCTGGATCCTCAAGCCAATTGACTTTAAGCGACTCAAGGTCATCTTGACCGGCGTCACGGATCCCACACAGCGGCAGCTCGACATTTACCACCCGGGCTGCAGCTGGGAGGGTGGAGGATGGCTATTTGACCCACCATCCCCCACCTCGGCTTCATGATTTATTACTTATTAGCATCTGAGGGGGGTTTTTTATTGTGTTGCATTACCTATTTGGATACCTGTAAAGCGATACTATACATACACGCAAGAATAGTATCTGTATAATACACTCAACTCATGTATGCACCGTGACAGTTGTAGCACTACAAATGAAACAATTATCGAACTTTTTGAAGACTATTAGTGGTGTTGAAACAGCCCACGAAGGTGTTCTCTGAACCAGACGAATGCGCCAGCGGGCGCAGGCCAATGAAATCGTGGGAGCGCCAACACTGATGCCATGAGGCTACTCAACGCCGACCACCAAAACGGGAAGTAATGCATAGATTTTCGTTTCATGGCCATGGAAAGCACCCATGGTCAGTAGTTCCGTGATGAAGTAAAGGCTCAAGAATCAGAACGGGAATCGGCACAAGAATCACGGTAGAATTGAGATTCAATGTTCTGGCTGAATTTCTGCCGATTCTCGATCAATTATGATGGCAAAGCAAATCCAGAATCTTAGGGCTGATTACAACTTACAACAAACTGAACTCCTTCTATAACGGCGACAACATACCGAGGTGCAAGGTAGTTTGTTGTGGTGTCTGTCCACGAGAGACTATATAGTGGCACAGGGGATCAGAACCATCTACGGCTACTGAACCGAAAGGTGCCCTTCTATGTATCACCACGGACCAATTTTTGCCTTCTTGGTTCCAAGCTTCAAATTCCGGAAGAACACTGACCAGGAACCAGGCCCAATGGAAAAAAAATGGCCCCACTGGTCCATTGCCTCTGGGATAATGTTGGACTGGTCAAATGACTTCAAGCTCAATTTCAATGGATATAATCTTGACCATTCAAATTCTGCGTACAACTTCTGCGAGCTGTGGCTTGGTGTGCCCAGGCTTCACACCAATTGAACAGCTAAGAAAGTAACACCTTGTGGGCGGTCATGCTATCAAAGCTTTGAGGATCTGCATTTCCTCCAGGATACTGATTCATTCACTTTCAAGCTCTGTTTGTCATAGTTTCACATCATATGTTTCTGCTGCACTCACCGCACATGATTGTTAGTATCATTCTGCCTCCTGTTGAGTGACCGGTAGGGATTTTATTCATGCTGCTAGCGGTGGTCAGGTGGGACGGGATTGAGCATCTCGGCACAACATGAATGAAATGCCTACCAAACCAGCAAAATGCATAGTCTCTTCTACAGATGCTACAACATAAATAATCTGGTACCCTCGAATGTTGTACAAAATGCAATCGTGGCCCACAAAAAATCTGCAGCCTCAGACAAGCCAGAGCACTTTGTGCAGGCAGTTGGTTGTTGAACATCAGCTTGGGTTGTAGTGTGATCAGAAGGGAAACCAAAAGAAAAAGAGCCAAGGCAGAATTTGAACCCAGGACCACATATCCACACATCCGAGGCCTACCCTGTTACAGAGAAGGCCTGACAAGAACACTCAGGACCTCCCAACCCAAGGCGTCCAAGAACAATTTGGGAGCAGATGACTCAGACATTTCAAAAGTCAGAAGATATTAGGCCAGAGGTCTTGCTTGGAGTGGGAGTGGAAAATTTGGCATTCCTGAGCTTGGATATATTGCACAAAGGACATCGAGAGGACATGCTGCTCAGGGATGCAGGAACATCAACCTCACAACGCACCAGGCCTGATGATGCCACATATGATTTCCAAATTTGAACTCTTCTGGCATCTGTCTTCCTGTGTTAGATGACTCGCATGCGGCATCCTGTTGTAGGGCTGGTGGACTAGGACACCCTAAGGGGCTGTCAGGGTGTGGGCCAATGCCGGGGCGCGAAGCGCCCCGGAGGACACTGAGCTTAAATAGGTAGAAGGGAATTAATCCAAAAGGGTCAGATGAAGAAAAAGAGGACCCTGGCCGGGATTTGAACCCGGGACCCCCGTGCATTCGAGGAAGAAACCCAAAGCACGTATCATTCTACTAGACCACCAGAGCCTTGTGAGCACACGGTGTGGAGGGCACTTGGTCAGCCTGGTCCGAGTTCCGAGCTTGCGAGGTTGAAGAGAATTTTCCGAGCTGACGAGGTTCAACCGGAGTGGGGAAATCCCGTCTGTTTTGCCAGCGCAGCAGAACACTGGTTGCCCACTGTTTTGCCAGCGCAGCCGAACCCCAGTCGCCCGTATCATTCTACTAGACCACCAGAGCACTGTGAGCACATGGTGTGGAGGGCACTTGGTCAGCTTGGTCCGAGTTCCGAGCTTGCGAGGTTGAAGAGAATTTTAAGAGCTGGCGAGGTTCAACCGGAGTGGGGAAATTCTTGTCTGTTTTGCCAGCGCAGCGGAACCCCCGTCGCCCGTATCATTCTACTAGACCACCAGAGCCTTGTGAGCACACGGTGTGGAGGGCACTTGGTCAGCCTGGTCCGAGTTCCGAGCTTGCGAGGTTGAAGAGAATTTTCCGAGCTGACGAGGTTCAACCGGAGTGGGGAAATCCCGTCTGTTTTGCCAGCGCAGCAGAACACTGGTTGCCCACTGTTTTGCCAGCGCAGCCGAACCCCAGTCGCCCGTATCATTCTACTAGACCACCAGAGCACTGTGAGCACACGGTGTGGAGGGCACTTGGTCAGCTTGGTCCGAGTTCCGAGCTTGCGAGGTTGAAGAGAATTTTACGAGCTGGCGAGGTTCAACCGGAGTGGGGAAATTCTTGTCTGTTTTGCCGGCGCAGCGGAACCCCAGCCAGAATAGAAAGTCAACCCAGGCCCGCCATGTCCCAGCGCAGGGGAAATTCATGTGAACTCTTACCTTTTTGAACGAGGTCACTTTCCCGAACACGGTCCCGTCCCCATCATCTGTACCGTGGCATCAATTCCCGTTGTCGGAAGAGTCGCCTGTGATGCCACTGAAATCTAGTCTGTTCAGTTATTCAACAATTCGACTTGTTGGGTTGTTCTCAACGGTATGGGCCAGCTTGCGCAGGTTTCTGAGTTCTGAGTAAACAAAGGGATTGAACCCGCCGATAAGTTCATTACTGAGCGACGAGAACTCGTCGATGGGCGAAGATCAACGACGCTTTGTCATCGCTCATCGCTCATGCTGCAGTGCCACTGATCGGCGATCAATCCCGCGCCCGTCTTCTTCACACCTCAAGGCCGCTCAAGGCCTCAAGTTCTGGTAACTCTCCTGGAGCTCGAATTTGATCTGCTCGTCGACCTCCTGCCCTCCTCTCCGCCTCCCAAAGCCTCAATTTCCATCTGGTATCCCAAGAACCGAATAGAAAGACAACCAAGTTGCTCAACGCCTATGGGACTTCGGGGCCTTCCCCGAGCGATAGCGGAATGTAGGTCGACAACTGCGCGCTACTCCAGGACCTGCTTGTGATGAAACAGGTGCTTAGCTGTTTCATGGGTCTGTCAAGTCGCGCGAAGTGGACATCGACGAGGCGCGAACGACGTCCGCGTGCCACGTGGAGATCCGGGTCGATGGATGCTTTGGGTGGCTTATGTTCAGCAACTGGGAGACGCGCTTGTGGAGATACCTCTACCCGAAATTCTGAAGATACCTCTACCCTCCACCCGGAGCAATCTTGTCAAGCTATAACGCTCGCCTGAAGCACTCTTCGCTCCCCCACATCATCTTTCCTCGCAGTCCCTCGAACTTCACTACCCAGAACTTCAACACCGTCATTCCATATGCCCACGGTACCCTCCCGGAGGCGCGCTGAACGCCATTCCCACCGCCTGTCGCTGCAACCCACTGTGGTGCTCAAGCGTGGGATGCGAGCTCAGATGTTGGAACGAAGCTATTATCTCGCTGTGGGCGGCGGCGTCAAGGCACACCATTTATCAATCGTTTTTCCCAGGTGCGTTTGTCCCTCAGTCTGTTGGCGATCCTCCAGAATCGGTTGGCGTTCGCGTGGGCGCACATCTTCTACTTCGGACCAGGTGCGCTTCGTTGTTGCTCACTCACCCTTGATCTAACCTATCGCTCTATCGTTCTGGGCCCGCGAATGCAGACGGAGGCGCAGCACACGTCTACCCAAACGCGTCACGCTGCTCTTTCACCCACCATGGCGCGACCCTGCGCGTCTGTCCTGACGATGTACTCTTCTCATGGATCATCTATGTCTACAGTATATGAAATGCTGTTCAGGTCATTTGCAATCTTGTTTATATGTACGCCTTCTCCCCATCCTCCTTCCCTTTTTATTTTTTCGAGGATCTCCACCTCCTGCCCCTATGCCACTATACGGTATTTGCACGCCAACGTCATTCAGTGCGCGTTGAGGTCGTTGGGTTCGCGCAGAGTCGTCAGCGTTCTGGTGCAATTCCGGTCAGCAGGTGTTTTGTTCTTCCTGGCCATTGCGAGAAGCAGTCAAGGAAGTGCTGGCAGTGGCAACTCACGCGCCCTGATGCGGGAATGTAAAAGACCAATACAAGCAGTTTGTACACATCCTTTGTGTCTATACCAGGCATATAAAATTGCGATGAAATTCTATGAAATACTTACCTCAGCCCCTGGTTTTCATCGCCACCGTTGATCGAGCAGAATGGAAAGACATGCACGGCTACAGTAACGGCCACTCTTCTTAGTTCTGGCGCTCGAGAGCGTCGTCGTATGACCTCGAAGGACTCTGTCCCCAATCCACGCCGCACCCTCAGCGCCGTTCCAGGCAACCAGCGCAATCCGCCGCCCCTTGCGCGCTTGTCATCAAGGCCGCTACTTGCCGACGTCGTACCGCCAGCCTTGCCGCAGTCGCCCTCTAAAGAGGCCCCGCTCTCAAGCGACATTGTTCAACGTTCGGCTTCTGGGCGCTCTGTTGGGACTTCTGAACCTGCGTCAGGCTGCGAGTTGAACGATGCCTCGGATTCAGACGGGAGCGACTCCCGCCATCGTCTTCAGCACGTCGAGAACGAAGATGGGCATCACATCATTGTGGGCAGAGAAGGAAAACTCACCTGCTGCGAAGATGAGGTCCGTCTTTCGCTCATCCAAGGATTTTCCTGCAAATTAAACAACCTTTAGCCCATTCGTACACCGGGTGCCGTGCAGGCATTCGGTGTTCTCATCGTTGTTGACGAGGTGGATGATGCCCTGGTGGTCCGGCAAGTCTCAGAAGTTCGTCTATCCACACTCGATCTGTGCATATCTGATTTTCATTACCAGAACGCCGAAGAAATCCTCGGCCTCTCCCCCCGCTATCTCTTCTCGCTCAACTGTTTCACCGACACTCTATCAAAATCTCAGGCCTCGGTCCTTTGGAACAATATACATTTTCTCTCCGAGTCGGAGAAGTCGGGTGACGACGAGGTCTCGCCGCATATGTTTTCCCTCACTGGCTTGGGGGCACCGCAAAGTCCCCCCTTGGATGACAGCAATCGTCGCTCGTGGACATGTTGGTGCGCGATGCACCGGCCGTCGAATGCAACAGTCGGCAACCGTTCGAGGCTGATCATCATGGAGTTTGAGCTCGAGCGCGACTCCCTGAATCCCCTGTACCCACTCGCAGATCCAACGTCGTCCCGCAGTATCAGTCCTGAAACTGCGGCCAACAGCGCGACCCACCAAAGACAGCACACGGAGTCGGATGCATTAGAGGAGGGGCACGAAGAACCCAGTGCACCTAGCGCGGAGGACATTCTCGAAAGCACGACCTCTCGCGCAAAGCCATTGCCTGCACTGGAACGTCTACGACGCCTCGCCCGTATGGACCTCGTCGCCACCTCGGGCACCGGCGTGGCACGCGGGCGACGCGCACGACGCGCTGGCAGTGGCGGGGTCGGCCTGATGGACGTGTTTGCTGTGATGGCGCAGCTCGACGAGCAGTTGGGCGACGCGCCGGACCTCCCGACGTTTCTCCAGGTTTTGGTCGGTTTGATCAAGGACCTGTCGCAGTTCCACCGGGTGCTTGTATATCAGTTTGATGAGGCATGGAATGGTCAGGTCGTCACGGAATTATTGGACTGGAGCAAGACGCAGGATTTATATCGCGGCCTGCATTTTCCAGCGACAGATATCCCGGCGCAGGTGCGTGGCAACTTGAGTAATGATGAAAGACTATCTTCTCATGCTGTTCGCTAACAGGCTAGACAGTTGTATGCGATCAGTACGAGTACTCTTTGGCCTCACTCAACGTGCTGACATGTTACCGACAGACAAAGTCCGGCTACTGTATGATCGCTCACAAAATACCGCCCGTATTGTAGTGCGCAGTGCGGAGGACCTGGAGACGCCTCTGGTCAGTCTCACTGTTCCTTTATCATTTGAATGCGCCCCAATTATGTTCGCAGAACATGACACATTGCTATTTACGCGCAGTCAGCCCAAACCATATCAAATGTGTGTTCCTCGTCCCGTGGCTGGGAGCTCAACCTCATTTGTGCAGATCTAGAAAATATGGGCGTCCGGGCTTCCATGTCTGTTGTGCGTATTTGTATCTTCTTCTGTTTCAATCCTCGTGCTGACCTCTTCAAGTCAATCATGGCCTTCGGCGCGTTATGGGGGCTCGTCAGCTGCCACTCGTACGGTGAACAGGGCATGCGCGTGTCGTTTCCTGTGCGGGAAATTATGCGCCTTTTGAGCCAGTCGATATCGCGGAACGTTGAGCGTCTCAGCTACGCGCAACGACTGATGACAATGAAACTGGTGCGCCAACTGTCCTGTACTTGCTGTAAAACGTCTCAACACCCGATAGCGTTCAATACAAATCAACATAATGGCGTCGCAATATCACCCTGTGCGTACAAGTTCATTTTTAATCCTTCCACCTTAAGCTCAAACCTAGATTTGACCGTTCTTTCAGGTGGGGTCCATCATAAGCGATGCTGATGACCTGGTGAAGCTGTTCGATGCGGATTTTGGGGTTCTCGTTGTATGCCGCGTCTTAAGCACGCCAACTCTTCGCCCCTCCGTACTTAGTCGCATCCCTAGGTCGGCGGAGCTGCCAAATTACTGGGACCAAGTGATCATGAGAACCGGATCCTGGCCATAGCGGAGTAC